GATCACAGCTCTCAGAAATGCTTTTTATTTACTTATGAGGGTTTCTTTTCTTCTTTTTCTTTTTTTTAAAAAAATAACATTTTAATTTTTAGAATGGTTAAGGTTTGCAGAAAAATAAGTGGGACTACAGATAGTTCCCTTATACTTCCTGTCTCCACCCACTTACCACCTCCCCAATATCAGGAGCCTGCATTAGCCTGGTGCCTTTGTTACGGCTGATGAAACTACACTGAGACATTATTACCACCCAAAGTTTATAGTTTGCCTGCGGCTTTGTTCTTTGTGCTGTGCATTCTATAAGTTTTGACAAATATGTAAGGACATGTATCCACCATTACAACCTCGCACAGAATAGTTTCCTTGCCTTAAAGATATCATCGCTTTACCTATTATCTCCACCCTTGCCTCAAACCCTTATAACCACCATCTTCTTGCTGCTTTCATAGATGGCCTTTTCTAGAATGCCATATGTTGGAATCACACAGCATGCAAACTTTTCAAATTAACTTTTTCCAGCTATCAATATTCATTTAATGTTTCTCCATAGCTTCCTAAGTGGTGCTAGTGGTAAAGAACCCACCTGCCAGGGCAGGAAATATAAGAGACATGGACGGGTTCGATCCCTGGATCAGGAAGATCCCCTGGAGGAGGAAATGGCAACTCACTCCAGTATTCTTGCCTGGAGAATCCAATGGACAGAGGAACCTGGGGGGCTACAGTCCATAGGGTCACAAAGAGTCTAATACAACTGAAGTGACTCAATACACATGTACTCATAGCTTTCCATGACTTGATAACTAATTTCTCTCTCTCTTTATCACCTGTGTGTTTTTTAAACATATTTTAGAGCAGTTTTACACACCAAAAAATTGAGGAGAATGTACAGAGACTTCTAGATACCCCCTGTCCTGATATTTTGTTACAATTGATGAACCAAATTTGACATATTATAACTATTCTAACTCAAATTCTATTCTCTTCTGGAGACACAGACACACACCCAAAATAATGTTTTGCTAGCTCTCTGGATATCCCTTGGTTCAGTCAAGTTGACACATAAAATTAACCATTAAAATGTTCCAGAAAAATGGTACTTGATATGAACTTTGGTCCTATGTAAATAACTTCCTATTTTCTATGAGTGTGGCTATGTGAGGAAGTGTTGGCAGGCATAATTGCAATATTTTATGATCATGAGGGGAATTTCAAAATGATGAAGATGCCTAAGCATAGATATGGAAAGTAATCTAGGAATTTGATGAAGTAACAGTCTTTCTGATTAACCCATCTTTAAAAACACACAATCTCCATATTTCTTGTCATGAGAGATGATAATCCCCTTATTGTTTGTTTAAGCAGCATCTAAGAGAATCCAACTGATCTAAATATCCATCTATTAGGTAATGGGGAAAGAAAAAAAATAAAACAATAATAGTTTATCTTCATGAAAGTTTTTGCTTTGCTGAAAGGATTGAATATAATGCCTGTGTACTAATAAAGATATGGCATTTAGTTGTATGAAGGAAAAATACAGTTTATGATATATTTACATAAACATACATACCATATACATTAATAAACATGTATCCTAATGAGTGCATGTATATAAATATATTTTATATGTATGCAGCCATATAATGTGCATTAGATGGCATAGGATATTATTTGGAGAAATAGAAACTAAATAGACAACAGTGATTGTCAGTAGAATGAGTGGTGGGGGTTAGGATGGGAGTTGTTCAAAGTTGTCACAACATAAACCTATCACTTAGAAAATAAAGTACAGAACATATTAAAGTAAAAGGCATAATTAAAATAATTATAGAAGAATAGACAAGTTTGAAATATGCTTAATATAAAATATTCAAAAGATGAAAATGCTACAAGACAACTATGTAGAAATTAGAAGATTTCACACCATAGAATGCTTAGGGCTGAGATTAAAGTGGGAAGAGGATCTTCTTTATGTGTCTGTGAAGCAAATGTTTCTAATCAGCTCCACAGAGATTTGACAATACATCTTGTCTGAGTTAATAGGAAATGCGAAGCCTGCCTAACTCTCAGGGACCCATCAGCCTCTGCCCACCATTAACTTTTTATTTGATATTTCAACTTAAAATACCCTAGGCTATATTTGTCTTTAACAGTTGAAAAGTTCAGGGTTAAGATAAGACACAAGATAGTACTGTAATTATTTAGGTCCCATTTAATATGGTAAAACATCAATTTACCAAATGGTATCCTAGAGGCCTGAAAAAATTAATACATTTTCTAGAAGTGTCTAAATTAATCCCAGGGTATACTTAATAAAGTCTAAATCACTATTTCAATGATTCTATAAATTGTGGAAGGAATTAATTTCTGTTAACACATTTAGTGGAAAGAACCTTTGTTATGGCTTTGTTAACTGTTAAATCTTTTAAAACATTAATTGTTAACATTGTATCAGGGCTTTATTTGTTAGCACATTTTTTTTCAAGTTAATAGCTAATACTATTTAAATTGTGGGCAAAAAATGAACTCTTACTGGCCTCATGGTCATCGTATTATTTTACAGGCTAGATTGAATCCCTGCAGCTCAATTTTGCTATTTGTTTTCGCTGCTCAGTTGCTCACTTGTGACCAACTCTGTGACCCCAGCTCAATTAACAAACCTGTTTTAAAATTTTCTAATGACACATGAATTCTGCTACAACTATCTGGAAACTGCAAGTGTACTGATTGCATGTTGCAACTGGTTGGATCTGTGTTATACAAACAAGCCAAGTAGTGTTGGAATGAAATAAATATAATTTTAAAACACATGAAAGAGGTGGATATAATTACTTTTATAAAACATTAATACAGTCCTAATATTTAACAACCTTTATATGTGTCTGTACTCAGTCATGTCTGACTCATTGTGACCCCATGAACTGTAGGCTGCTAGGCACCTCTCTCCATGGAATTTTCCAGGCAAAAATACTGGAGTGATCTTCCTACTCCAGGAGATCTTCCCGACCCAGAGGTCAAACCCACATCTCTTGTGTCTCCTGCATTAGCAGGTGGATTCTTTACTGCACCACCTGGCAAGCCCAACCTTTTACATACTTGGTAGTGTACAGATACTACTTTGATTATTTTGATTTTATAATTTTCTATGCATCAAAATTATCCAAATTGAAATTTTTAAAAATAAATTATAGAGCTCTGTAAAATATCAGTAGTTTGCAATGTAAATATATATAGTAGCTTCTATTTATATGTTTGGTATTAGTAAACCAGTTACTGAAGTGGATTCAGTTCTCTTTCCACCACATATTCTCTACATCTCTATCATCTCTCCAGTGTAGCAGCCTACCTTGAAGATCTTGAACTTGCCAGGCTTCAGAATTGCATGTCAACTCCCTGAAATAGAATTTTCCATTTTCCTCTCCCTTTCCCTTTCTCTTTCCCTTTCTTGGTTCCTCTCTCTCTAGCACTCTCTCAATACATATGTATGTATGTATTTGAAAGATAGATTTTATACACAGAGACACATATAAGTGTGTGTGTGTGTGTGTGTGTATATATATATATATATATATAAATGTATATATAAATGCATACAACCTCATTTTTGTTCTGTTTCTTCCAAGACACAAAATCTCCTGTTGTAGATTCTTCCCAAGTTTTAGAATATGATTTTTCAAACTCCTTAGCATGAATATTTAACCTCTTATTTTCTTTCTGCTGTATCTACCTTTTGTGATTATTCTCTTATCATACATGTTTAATAGTACCGTGCCAATTAATTCACCATTTCTTGACATCCTATGATCTTGTGTTGCATTGTCGATTCGCTTTATTCACTTGTTACTTTTGTCATTCATTTTTACATACAAAACATAGCTTTAAGGAATTGGAATTTGCTAAAAATTGAACTCATTTCAGTGCTCAGGGAAGTTAAGCCTCACTTTTGCATGTGCCAGACAGAAGGAATAAATTCTATCTCCTTCTGGGCAAACCTGTGCAAGAAGATGACCATTAGCCTCGTGTGTCTAAGGAGCATTTGGAATGTGTCTAGTCTGGATTGATTGAAAAGTGCTGCAATTGTAAAATACACACTGGACTTCAAAACTTAGTAACAAATAGTAGTTAAAATCTATTAATTGTTTCTCTATTTTCTTTTACTCTTTTTACTGTGGCCATTAGAAAATACAAAGTTACATATGTGACTTCTATCTTTGACTTTTATTGAGCAGTGCTGTCCTAGACCTTCCTTTCTTCCTCATCCACATTTCCTTTCCTTTCCATTTCCCATCCTCATTATGTGAGACTTATTTCATTGTGTCATTTCATCTATAAACCAATAGTTATTATGTTATATTATAAATTTGGGAAATATATTCTAAATTTCTCTTCGGGAAAAATTATCACATATACGCTTAGCAAGTACTATACACCCAGGAAATTTTTGCCAAATTAGTCTTGTGAATGAATAAAACCATGCATATTTCACGTGGAGGGATAAAGGGATTTTATAGCAATGTTGCAAATCACTTTACTTTCCTGGTTAAAGAGGTATTTTCTGTATCTGAGTTCTCTTCCTTTGTAATTATCTGACAAGTCCTCATTCCATGTATTCTTCAAATAATAGTATGGATGTTTGCTTTAATTCCTGGAGAACAACTCATATGAAATTATATTCAATTTCATTGAGCCTGCAATCATGAATTAAGCACCTACTATAAGTACGGCTCTATTTTAAGCAGTGGAGGTAAGACAGAGAGAAAATATCCCTGCTCTCCTTGGTGTAAATTCTAGATATAGTACACGGGTAAGAATAAGAAAACAAATAACACAAAGTGTTTCAAAGACAAAATAAGGAAGCAGTATTGGATTTTTGGATTAGGAAAAGCATTTCTGATGAATTGAGATTTGGGCTGTGGACCCTTGTGATAGAAAGAAATAGTCATATGATGATGAGGGTAAAGAGTATTATAGATGGATGAGAGATCAATTTATCAGGGTCCTGAATCATGAATAGGGTTGGCAGTGTGAGGAATAGCAAGGAAACCAATATGGCTGAATTAAAGTGGATGAGAGTGAGTAGGTCAAAAAATGAGGTCAGAGAAGTGGGCAGCTCTAGTTCAAGTGCAGCCTTGTACACAGGCAAGCAGTTCATATTATTTTATAGGGACAATGGAAAAGTATTGGAGTATATGGCGCATGCAGGCAACATGACTGATGAGCCATTTAAATATATCCTTCTATTGCACAAAACATGGATTTCACGCAGTGGGCATAGCTTGTCAGAATTAGGGAGACACTTTAGCAAGATGGTTTTGGCAAAAACAAGTGAAAAATCATCTGATGTCCTGGAAAATGAAGTTTGCAGAGGAGATGGAAAGCAGAGATTATGGTTTTGTACATCATTTTATTCTTTGCTCAAAACATAGTATCTGGGACAAAGTAACCAAAGGTAGCTTCCTTTTGTTTAGTGTATACACAGTGTTCCAAGTCCCATTTAAAGCACTTTAAATATATATAATTTATATTCATATTTAATAATTATTAGACAAAGTATTATATATATATATGTATATTTTTTAATTTCACAAAAGGAAATACTAAATCTAAGAAAGCTTACTGAGTTATTTTCTGACCATCAAGTTGTCAGGTTGTTCAGATGGAATTCCTCAGGAAATTTGAAACTATGTCCCACAACTGTCACCTGCCTTTTGCCAAATACTTCATTGGATGAACACATGTAAGTCTGAGGAGCAGATTTTAAATTTATATGCTGTGATTTACACCTGCAGAAAGGTGCAACTTCACGTGTTTTGGAGGACAGGAGGTGCCATCCAGGCTTTCTCTCACCTGTACCGTGATGTGCCGCTATTTCTGCTCTTTTTTCCTCCCTTGTGCTGCTGCAGGATTCCTGGTGAGTCGTTCAGTCCTTATAGTTAAAGTGAGCCACGAGGCGCAGGCCCCCTCATCTTTCAAATTATTCCTCAAAACGTCTCAGGTTTCTATGTTTTCACAACAGATTTTTTTCTTTTCTTGAGCAAGATTCTACAGGGTGGGGTCCCTTGGTCTCTTCTCTGAATTTAACAATTTTTCATCGTATTCTAAAACTTCTAATTTTCTTCAGAATTGCTCATCCCTACACCAAGCAAAATAATACCTTTCTCCAGACAACAGGAATTCCCTGTGTCAGATCCCATGTGACTTCTCAATAGGTAAAGAAGCTTTCTGAATCCTCTATCATTTGGCATGCTGATATATATTATTCTTTTCCTTCACTACTTAAACTAGTCCATCCTAAAGGAAATCAGTCCTGAATAGTCATTGGAAGGACTGATGCTGAAGCTTAAACTTCAATACTTTGGCCATCTGATGCGAAAAACTGACTCATTTGGAAAGACCCTGATGCTGGGAAAGACTGAAGGCAGGAGGAGAAGAGGATGACGAAGGATGAGATGGTTGGATGGCATCACTGACTCAATGGACATGAGTTGGAGTAAACTCCGAGTTGGCAATGGACAGGGAGGCCTGGTGTGCTGCAGTCCCTGGGGTCGCAAAGAGTCAGACACAACTGAGCAACTGAACTGAACTGAAATCTAAGACAATTTAAAATTTTACTTGCTTTTTAAAAAATTAATAATTAATTAATCTATTCATTTAAAAATTAAAAACTTCGCAGTAACATTTTTCCTCAGCTGAAGTAATATGTTTGCTATCTAATGGCTTAATAGTTTGAGATTTGCAAGGCAAAATAATAACAATAATCAAACAGGAATAATAATAGTAATAATAATAATAATAAATTTTTTATTTTAAAAATCAGTGGATAATTTTTTTTTAATACCCTCTACACTGTGAATGAGCATTATGCCTCTGTTTCACTGTTTTGCTTTTTCTTTAAATTCTAGGGGATCAATGATTACCTGTGTTCATTTGAATTTAAATTTTTCTCTCAACTTTTATTTGTTGTAATTACTATTTGCTTGGGGCTTTCTGGTGGCTCAGCTGGTAAAGAATCCACTTGCAATGCTGGGGATGCAGGTTAGCTTCCTGGGTCAGGAAGATCCCCTGGAGAAGGGCATGGCAACCCACTCCAGTATTCTTGCCTGGAGAATCCCATGGACAGAGAAACCTCATAGGCTACAGTCCACAGTGTCGCAGAGTCAGACATGACTGAAGCGATTGAGCAGGCACGCAAGCACCATTTGTTTAAAACAATCCGCCTCACTACTTTGGAAAAAGTGGTGTGTTGAATGTTTGAAAACACTATTCATTCCCTGAGTCAGTACTTGAGTAGTGGAAATAGTCTGCCTGTCCATGATTTATATCCAATTCACAACTGTAGGGTCTGAAAGAAGGTACACATGTTTATTGTCTGTTACTTTCAGCAACCAAGGAGTTAGGAGGGAACATTAGCTGGCGTTGATGCTCTTCCTAATGAATAATCCTTAAATGTGATCAAGGACTCTCTCCAGCTTGCCCTGTAGGTTGACCTAAGGTTGGAGCATTCTCATCTAATGGTTACTTGCAGTCACTTTGTTCTGTAGCTATTTCTAATTATACTTCCATATAAAACTATTCCCATCAGCATTTTATCTTTCAGGACTATAGTTTCCTGGTGACATACTGTCATTTCCCTAGTGGCATAATAGACTCATTTATTTTGAAATACTTTTTTAATCCAACAAAGTTAGGGATTGAGCATGTGCATGCGTGACTGCTCAGTCATGTCCAATTCTTTGTGACTCATGGACTGTAACCTGCCAAGCTCCTCTATCCATGGCATTTTCCAGGTAAGAATACCAAAGTAGGTTGCTTTTACCTACTCCAGGGGCTCTTCCTGACCCAGGGATCAAACCTGCATCTCTTGTGTTTCCTTTATTGGAGGCAGATACCTGACAACTGTGCCAGAATTTAGAAATAGGACAGAGAAAAAAGCTATTTGTACATATTTTTCAACCTTGATCTATTCTCCAGATGATTTTTTCTTCCCCATATCAAAAATGTGAACTTTTCTCTTAACTGTTTAAAATCTTTTATTATCCTATGGTAATAACCAAAGGCAGAAAACCAGAGATCAAATTGCCAACATTGGATCATAGAAAAAGCAAGAGAGTTCCAGAAAAACATCTGTTTCTGCTTTATTGACCACACCAAAGCCTTTGACTGTGTGGATCACAACAAATGTGTAGAAAATACTCCAAGAGATGGGAATACCAGAACACCTCACCTGCCTCCTGAGAAATCTGTATGTGGATCAAGAAACAAGAGTTAGAACCAGACATGGAACAACAGACTGGTTCCAAATAGGGAAAGGAGTACATCACGGCTGTATATTGTCACCCTGATTATGTAACTTATATGCAGAGTACATCATGAGAAATGCCAGGCTGGATTAAGCACAAGCTGGAATCAAGATTCCTGAGAGAAATATCAATAACCTCAGATATGGAGATAATGCTACTGTTAGGGCAGAAGGTTAGGAGGAACTAAAGAGCCTTTTGATGAAAGTGAAACAGAGTGGAAAAGGTGGCTTAAAACTCAACATTCAAAAAATGAAGATCATCCAGTCCCATCACTTATGGGGAAAGAGTGGAAACAGTGACAGACTTTATTTGGGGCGGGGGGTGCTCCAAAATCAGTGCAGATGATGACTGCAGCCATGAAATTAAAAGAAGCTTGCTCCTTGGAAGAAAAGCTATGACCAACCTAGACAGCATATTAAAAGGAAGAGACATTACTTTGTCAACAAAGGCCCATCTAGTCAAGGCTATGGTTTTTCCAGTGGTCAAATATGGATGTGAGAGTTGGACTATAAAGAAAGCTGAACGCCAAAGAATTGATGCTATTGGACTGTCGTGTTTATAAGGCTCTTGAGAGTCCCTTGGACTGCCAGGAGATCAAACCAGTGAATCCCAAAGGAAATCAGTCATTGATTCCAATATTCATTGGAAGGACTGACATGAAGCTGAAACTCCAATACTTTGGCCATCTGATGCCTGACTCCTTGGAAAAGATCCTGATGCTGGGAAAAATTGAAGATAGGAGGAGAAAGGGACGACAGAGGATGAGATAGTTGGATGGCATCACAGACTTGATGGACATGAGTTTGAGCAAGCTCCAGGAGTTGTTAATGGACAGGGAAGCCTGGCATGCTGCAGCGCATGGGGTCACAAAAAGTCAGATGTTCCTGAGCAACTGAACTGAACTAAATGACCAAATTTATTAGTACATCATACAAAAGCTCTTCGTGATTTTTCCTACTGCTTTAGCTTAAACTCCTATCAGACTCAACTCTCCCTCTTATGTTAGTTGCAGTGGACTACAGAGTTTATAATATTTTAAATAAATTTTCTGTTTCTCATCTTTTACAGCAGTATTTTTTGCCTGCTATTTGCCTGGCTTAAATTTCCTCAAGTTTTATGACACAACTATAATGTCAATCTGACATTATAGGATGAATTCTTTGACTTTTCTCTCAACCTAATGAGATGCCTTCTCTGTGCAATTTTAACATCTTAGACATATCTATTTCAAAGCTTGTTATTATATTATGTTGCAATTTTTCACATAAATGTCTCCTTATTAGATTGTTAACTCCTTAAACAAAGGCTGTACCTTAGATATCTTCAGAGTTTCAGTGCCTAGAGTCTTACAATATGTTGGGTAAAACATTATTGAATAATTTATTTTTTTTCTTCTTATTTTTTATTTTTTTTTTCATTTATTTTCATTAGCTGGAGGCTAATTACTTTACAACATTGCAGTGGTTTTTGTCATACATTGAAATGAATTAGCCATGGATTTACATGTATTCCCCATCCCGGTCCCCCCTCCCACCTCCCTCTCCACCCGATCCTTCTGAGTCTTCCCAGTGCACCAGGCCTGAGCACTTGTCTCATGCATCCAACCTGGGCTGGTGATCTGTTTCACCCTAGATAATATACATGTTTCGATGCTGTTCTCTTGAAACATCCTACCCTCGCCTTCTCCCACAGAGTCCACAAGTCTGTTCTATACATCTGAGTCTCTTTTTCTGTTTTGCATATAGGGTTATCGTTACTATCTTTTTAAATTCCATA